GTGGCTCTATTCATTATTTCTGGAAATTCAATTCTACCCTCCATTTCTCTTAACCTTTCTTTTATATTTTCCATCCACTTGACTTTCTGCTCTCATTTGGAGTTATTTCTTTAGATATTTCAGTTTATGAATTCTCTGTTAGGGTGTATTTAATCTGCTGTTTAACTTACCAGAGTTTTTAATTTCAATAATTAAGGTTTTCTTTTCCAGAAGTTCTGGTTCTTTTAACAAATCTATTTGCTGTTTTCTGACAGTGTCTTTCTTTCTCATATTTTCAGTTCCACTTAAAAAAAAAATCAGTAAATATTTAACCACACACAAACACTTTTATCTAATACTTCTGTTAACAGAAATCACTAAGAGTCTATTTCTCTTGCATGTTTTCCCTGCTTGCTTTTGTTCATGGTGGCTTGTTTTAAGCATTTTTTTTTCTTTTTATAGTTTGGGAATTATGAATTGTTTGGGATTTATTTCTGGAAACTTTGGGGAATCTTTGTTTTAACATGTTTTCCTTTAGAGAAGATGAGCTTGCTTCCTTCTTCCAACCTGGATGCAATTATTCTGACACTACATTATGTTATTATCTTGGCTTGGGGTTTCCCAGACCCTCACATCCCAAGTCCATTTGAGGATATGGTAGTGGTTTCAAAATGTTAAAGGAAACTGACACATATACATACATACACACAATACACACACACAATACATACACACACAGGCACAACCCTGTCCATAGAGCCCAAGCCACACCAGACAAAGTCTCTCTTCTTCATCCTCCCCCTTTTCTGCTTTCCAGATTTTTATCTACCCAGTAATTTCACTGAGGGTGTTGCCTTTCAGGATTTCTGATTTCAGATGAGGGTCTCAGTTCCAATTTGTGACCTTGTAAGAGCTTAATACCATGTCTTCTGTCCCCATAAGACAGACAAAACTCAGACCTTTCTGTAACTGAGATGGACAAATACCTCCAGTACAGTAGTAGAAGGTTAGTAAGCTGTTTTTCAGTTTTCTCCTTATTTTTGGCCTGTGAGTATTTTAACTTTTTTTTTTTTTTTTTTGCTTAGCGATTCATTTTGGATATTTTTATAATAGTATTTCAACCTGCAGATCTTGGTGTTTTGTTGCAGGATTTTTAGGCTTATAATATGACATGAGATGGAATATTACAAGAAGTAGAATCATAGGTTTTAATTTTTCAAATTTAAAAATATCTTCTATGAAATAATATTTTTATACATCTATCACATTGGACTGAGAATGAGAAATCGTATTCTAATCCTGGTTTTGTTATTTTCTATTTGTGACCTTGGGAAAATAAGCTAATATTTCTCAAACTATCTTAATTATCTTTAGAGCATTGGATTGCGGACCTCTGAGATTTCTTCAAGTTTTAATGTTCAGTGAGTCTGTGAAGTAAAAATAGCATTGATGAAGGTTCAAGATGTAATTAATCACACAGTCCTAGCACTAAACTGCCATTCACTATGTATCTTTCACTACACTTGGCTCAAGCTTTAAACAGTCCTTTTGTTGACCCTTCTTGGTTTGTTTTTTAACTGTAGTAAACACACACACACACACACACACACACACACAATTTACCTTCTTAATTATTTTTAAGTGTACAGTTCAGAAATGTTAAATATATTCATACTGTTGAATAATGCTGCCTTTTAAACTATAGATTGATAAAAGACACATCTATTTCTACCATGTCTACCTTGCTCTTACTCATCTATTCTTCCTTTCTTTCCCTTGACACAGTGGCTGGTACATTTTATCAAGGGAGAAATGCTACAACCTAAAATTATCTAACTAAGAAGTTTTCAAAGTTCAAAGTTTTCATATTGCTATGATCTGAATGTTCGTGTCCTCTCAAAATTAATATGCTGAAATCCTAGTGCCCAAAGTGATGACATACACACATGTGGAGCCCTCATGAACAGAATTAGTGTTCTTAAAGACATACCACAGAGTTCTCTAGTCCCTTGCACTGTATGAGGACACATCAAGAAGGTGCCAGCTATGAATCAGGAAGAGGGGTCTCACCAGAACACAACCATGCTGATGCCTTGATCTTGGATTTCCCAGCCTCCAGAACTATGAGAAAGATTACTGTTGTTTATAAATTACCCATTCTGTGGTATTATTATAGAAGCCCAAATGAACTGAAATACATACCTATTTTTTTTCTTGAGCTTTCCTGTTGAATTACCATACAACTTTGGAGGTCTATGAACCACATATAAATATATATTTGATTTTTGCAGTGCATACACAAAAAAATTTCTTTGGTAAAATATAAGAATCATTTTTCTCAAGGGTCTCCTTGATATTTAAGTAATATTCTTTGAAATGTCTATGCTATCATCCTCTGTGTTTCTTGTCTTTTTGTAGTTTTAATAATTTAATTTTGCTAGCTTTTCTTTTGCCAATGGTTTTGCACATGTTCTAGTTATCCAAGATCATTTATATTGACTTTAGGAATTCCCAACCTTCATTCAATTCCCATCCTTCAACCAGATGACCTCTTTCATTTAAATAAAATTTACTTCTAATTTTGTTTTATCACTTCTATTTAGATTTCAGCCCTTAAAGATCAAGGTCTTGGGGTGCCTGGGTGGTTCAGTCAGTTAAGCATCTGCTTTAGGCGTAGGTGATGATTCCAGGTTCCCTGCTAAGTGGGGAGCCTGCTTCTTCCTCTCCCTCTGTCCCCTACCTCAAGCTCACTCTCTTAAACAAAAACAAAAACAAAAAACAAACAAACAAACAAAACTTTAAAAAAATAAAAATCAAGGTCTTAAATTAGACCTCTGGAAAAATAAGACAATATTACAGAACTAGTTATTTTAGTGTGTGTGTGGGGAAATAATCAAACCTTTCTGGTAGTTGTAAAAAAGTAAGCTTGGTTGAAATTTCCAACTGCCATTAATTTTGGAGACAATGTGAAAAGAGTTTATGTAAAACAGATATATTTCATCAATTCCAAGAAGCAGATTTTTTCTCCCATACATTTAAAAATTTCCTGTATCAGGATGCATGTTAAAAATCAGAAGTTGCAATTTATATAATGAGCAGTTTTTCCTTTTTTTCAGTTGTACCTAAATAATATGCCAAACAATCTATAGTGTTTTAAGTTAGAATGTAGTCTAAAATCCTAATCTAAGTAATAATGTACTATCAACTAGCCAAAATATTAAAAAATGAAGCAATGGTTATATAGAATGCAACTTTCAAGTGGATGCATTCCATTGATAACAACAGTAATAGCAATCCACATATTTCTTCCTACAACCAGGTACTGTTTTAGATGTTTTACTTAACCTATTTAATTCTTACAACAACACTTTTTTATGTAGGTTACTGTTACTTGCTTCTTTGTTGTCATGGTTGAGGACACTGAAGCAATGAGGTTAAATGACATAACCTCTCAACCATGTGTGAGGGCCAACATCGCACACATAGTGAGTGAATTAGATGTTTTTCTTAGATACGGAGTTTCTACCTGTTGGTAAACAGAAACAAGTACTATTCTAGACAAAGGATTTTATGAAAGCATACTGCTAATTGTTCGTTTCTCTCAAAGAATAGATACCCATTGGCAGCAAACAGATATAGTTTTCCTCATTTAGACCAGTTGGTAGGTTGAATAAGCCCCTAAAGATATTCACATCCTAATCCTTGGAACCCATGAATATATTACTTTACCTGGCAAAGGGACTTTGCTGATATAATTGAGGGCACAGACCTTCAAATGGGAAGGTTATCCTGGATTATTCAAGTAGACCCAATCTGGTAAGATCAAAGTATCCTACCCAGCTGCAATCTGAGGAAGATGTGACTATGGAAGTCTCAGAGAGAGGCAAGGCTGGCTTTGAAGACAGAGGGAAGGTGGCCATGAGCCAAGGAATATGTAGAAAGGCAAGGAAATGGATTCTACTGGAGAGCCTTCAGAAAAGAATGTAGCCCAGCTGATTCCTTGGTTTTAGCCTAATGAGACCCACGTAAGAATTCGGACTTACAGAACTGTGCGATAATAAATTTGTGTTATCCCTAATACTTTTGTGTTCTAAGCCACTAAAATTTGTGGTAATTTGTTACAGCAGCAATAGGAAACCAGTACAAGCCCATTCAAGCAATCCAGTTCAATGAAATATCCCACAGTACATGAAAACATTTCAACAAGTGCAGAAACCATTTTTGGATGAATCAATGTATGAGGCCTGGCGAAGTATTAGATAAGTAATGTCTATTAAGTTGTGAGTAGTGTGTTCTGATGATGCTTGAACAAAAACAGCCCGACCACCTGCATAGTGTTTTCCCGTAATGTCACACAAACCACTGTTAACCGTAGATGGTACACGGAAAAACACTTTAAATTTTCGTAGTATTTTTACCTTTATCTTCCATTTATGGCACGTATTGCTGGTTTGCACTCACAGGAGTCGTTTTTGACTGTATTTTAGTGTGTGACCACTGTTTCCTCAGCCACCCGTTGAGCGTCGTGAAGCGCTGGCTTCCGGGTGGGTGTCCCACCCCGCTGAGACAGCGCTCCAGGAGGGAGTCATTGGACTCAAGTTCCTGGGCAGGCGCTACACGAGGGACACGAGAAGTACCAAATATAAACCAGCAGGCCGTGAGCCCACGGGTATCCTCGCGCCTCCACGTTGTCTGCAATATCGGCACCAGGCAGGCCGGCGACATCAAACTTCGCGACATTTGTAAGTGCCGCAGACCTTTGTGTTACCGGCATCTGGGGCGAAGATGGCAGGAACACGACTCCGCCCATGTGAACCAAGATTTTGTTATCGCGAGATCGCAATGACAGTTCAGGCGGCGGATCTCGCGGGATTTTCCGAGACAGGGCTGAAAGTTGCAGGGAAGGTAGGAGTAGGGTCTGCTCTGAAAGAGAGGGGAAGGGGTCCGTCCATTTGCAGGCTTGCTTCCTCCCCTGGCGATCGCGGGATGACTAGGTGAGCGCCGTCTTGCCAGTCTCCACAGCGCTCTCCAGCTCTGCCGCTGCCTGAGACGCCGCCTCCCTTCTCCCTGGATCCTCTCGGGCTCCACCTGGGTTCCCCTCGGCCGCTGGCGTCGCGCTTCAGGGGGGCGATGTACGCAGGGCTGCAGGAAGTGGCGTTGGCCTCAGTCTTCCCGCCCGCCTCGTCCTCCAGGTCCTCGGCCGCCTGTCGAGTGTCGTACGCAGCCAGGCTGCCCGGCCCCTCCCCCTGGCCAGATGGATCCCTCTGCCCCCAAGCCTCGCGCGGAAACCGCCGGCAAAGGTACAAGCTCGGTGCTCGTCTGTCAGCCCAGGGAGCTGTCTACTACGCTGGGTTGGACCCATTCCTGCCAGTTCTCTTGGGGTTGGGGTTTTACCTTGTGGGCTCTTCTGAATGACAGCTGGAGTCTGGGCGCAAGTTCTTTGGGATTCAATGTTGAGAACTTGGATTCTGGAGTCAGACTGGATCTAGTGCTGGCTCTGACAGTTACTTGCTGAGAAACTGGGCAGTTTCCTCATCTGTAAAACTGAGACCATTGCTGAGTTTTTGTGATTACGAAATGTGACGGTGGATGCAAAGCACTTATGTGACCCAGCTTCTGGTCCATATTAAGCCCTCACTAAATGTATAGTATGTTTATTCTTTATCCTTCTATGCCCCAGTTCTTAGCGAATGGTAGAAGTTTGTTGTTACATAGGTGAATAAAGGTTAGATATTCAGTTCACATTATTTGATGGCACAAAGACCTTAGCATATGATGTCCTGAATCAGGGCCTTACAGTCAACCTTTATTGGCTCCTCAAGACGGGGTTTAAGGAGTGTGTGGTTGTCTAACACAAGTCAAGTGGAATGCCTTCTTGCCCCCAAATTAATAGCTTCCATTATTAAAAGTGATATAATAACAATTCCCAGATATTGAGTGCTTGTTCTGTGCCCAGAAATATGCTGCTTGTTTATCTCCATGCTTTCCTTTGAGGAAGGTATCCATCTCATTAAATAGATGAAGAATTCAGAGCTAAAATTTAGAGAAGTCATGTAATAAGACTCAACTCTGAAGGCTAGGAATTGATGACACTCTAACTCAGGGATCATGAATATAACTACCCATAGAAGGCTGGCAGGTGAAATAAGTAGTGAAGCTGCTGAGTGGGGATTGTAGTGGCTGTGGTGCTCAGACCTCAGTTAAAAGGAAGAGGGACTACTCAGTTTCCGGGACTTGTTTATTCCTGTGTGCATGGTACAGTAGTGTAGCTATAAGGTCAGATAGCTTGGTTCAAATCCTGGATCTGCCATTTGTAACCATGGGCAAGCTGGTTAACCTTTCTCTGTTTCACCATTTGTTTTGTTTTGTTTTTTAAAGATTTTATTTATTTATTTATTTGATGGACAGGTCACAAGTAGGCAGAGAGGCAGGCAGAGAGAGAGGAAGGGAAGCAGGTTCCCCGCTGAGCAGAGAGCCCGAAGTGGGGCTCCATCCCAGGACCCTGAGATCATGACCTGAGCCGAAGGCAAAGGCTTTAACCCACTGAGCCACCCAGGCCCCCTGTTTCACCATTTGTAAAATGGAACTAATAATATTACATGAAGTCATGAAAGGATGGTGGCAAGGCTTACATGAAATTAAGCACATGCCTGGCACACATAAGTCTTCAAATATTAGCTCTATATAAATATTTGTTAGTCCTACAAGTATTTGAGTTTCAATCATTGTTCTAGGTTCCCAGGATATAAGAGCGAACAAAGTAAGTCCTTGCTCTAGGGAGCTAAGTTGAGATAAACAGTAACAGATATTTCATATTTTTCTTTGAAAGTGGAATTAAGCAGGGTAAAGGAAGAGTGGCAGGGAGTGCTATTTTAGACTGAGTGGTCAGAGAAAACACCTCTGAGAAGATGCCATTGGAGCAGAGACCTGAATGAAGTGCAAGGATCAGTCATTTGGGTGTTTAGGGAGAGTGTTGATGGAAGGAATAGAAAACTCAGGGACCCTTAGGTGGGAGCATGCTTGCCATGGTTGACCAATAGCAAGGAAGCCAGTCTGGAATGAAGGAGGAAAGGAAGTGACATTAAAGAGGACATGCCATTCAACCCCAGAGGAAATCCTCCCAATTTAAGATATTTGTTCTAGAATTCGATACAGAGACATTCCAGCCTTTGCTCAAACTTAACTGAATCTCTTTAGTTCTAGAAATTATTCAAACTTAAGGAACCAAATAGATTTCCAGAATTGTTGTGTGAAGCCCATAGGGCTTTTGCACATGCTGTGTGCTTAGAGATCCTCTTCTTAGATCTTCTTCCCCTTTAAATTACGTTTCTTCAATACTTTTTTTCGTAGTACTCTGTTCTTATCTTCTGAAGCACTTTTTACAATTTTGTGTTTGTGAACTTTTTAGTATCTGTCTCCCTCACTAGATATCTAGGATCTCTGAGATAAAGGATGTGTTTGTTAATAAATTCAGCACATTTATTGAGTGCCTATCGAGTGCTGATGCTGGGGATAAAACTTGAAAAATACAGACATTTTTCTGGAAAGGAAATTACTCTCTAGTGGGAAAGACAGATAAAAACAAATAAATGTAGTTATTAAACATTGTGATATGAGTTATGGAGGCAGTAAAATACTGAGATACAGAATAAAAGGGTACGCTACTTTAAATAAGGTGAGAAGATGACAAAAACAGCTGAGAGAAGACTTGCTTAGCATGTTTGAGTACAGGGGAAAAGTGAGATTGAGTTGGAGAGGTAAGTATTGGCAGATCATGCTGGGACTTAAAGGCCATAGTAAGGAGTTTATACTTTATTCTTTATGTAATGATAACTATTGAAAAGTTTTAAATTAAAGATTTACTAGTAATTTTTAATTTTTTAAAAAATATTTATTTATTTTAAAGAGAGAACAGGCAGGCAGGGGGAGGGGTAGAGAGAGGGGAAGAGAATCCTCAAGCAGATACCCCACTGAGCATGGAGCCTGACGCAAGGCTGGATCCCAGGACCCAGAGATCATGACCTGAGCTGAAATCAAGAGTTGGATGCATAACTGACTGAGCCCAGTAGGCACCCAGTAATTTATATTTTGAAATAGTATTGCTGCTATGTGTAAAATGGATTGTAGGGATGGCAGCAGAGAGAATGGTTAAGAGTTTATAGTGGTAATTTAGGAGAAAGCCATAGGTGGTATACTTTAGGGCAGAGAACAGCAAACTACGGGCCCGGGCCAAATTCAGCCTGATACTTATTGTAGATAAAGTTTTATTGGAACACAGCCATGCCCATTTGTTTATGTGTTCTCTGTCCCTTCTCTTGTGTTACAAGGGTAAGAGACTGTATAGCCTGCAAAACTAAAATAATAAATAGCTAAAATCTGACTCTTTGCAGAAAAAGTTTGCCAACAGTTGTTTTGGAAAGATGGTAGCATAATGGAGGGAGAATGAGCAGGACTTTCTGATGGATTGGATGTAGGGAGGAATATAAAACGAGGAATAAGGGCTGGCTAAAGGTTTTCTATCGTGAAAAGTGGCTAGATGATGATGCCATTTAATGAGATTTGGAAAGACTAGTTCAGAGCAAGTTTTAATCATTATCATTTTTACTTTTTTTTTTCATTTTATACCTATTGTGGTACATACAATATTTGGTAGGTAAAAACATATATGTTGAATAATAGCACATTAGTGACTTAAGTGTTTAAAAATTGGAAGGCATTTTCTGGATAGGCAAACAGATCATGTGAAACAGAAATAATGTATTAAGAATTGCTATAAGGGTTAATTCAGGTCCTAAGGCTCAAATGGTACGGTTATGAAAATAGGGCCCACTGATCTGTTATCCCTGTACAGTGGATCAAGTTTTTAGTTTCTTGTTAATACTTTGTCTTTTAGAATTGTGTGACAGTTCTTGAACAGTTTGGATCCAATTAGCAATAATCGCGCCTCGGATAAACCTCATTGGCTATGATACTGCCACTGCGCAAAGCTAACAGTTTGGATCCAAAGATTAGAGTAGGAGAATAGATTTTTCTTGGCGTACTTCTAATTGTTATGCAAAATAACCTTACCATAGTTAGTGGGAATAATGGTTTTACTTTTGAGGCACAACTGCTGAGAAATAGCACAATGAGTTATTTGTGCTTAAGACAGTATAGATACACTAGTCATATTATAATCACAAATGTTATAAAAACCTAATGAGGAATCATTGGAAAGATCCTAAGAAAGTACCAGTGGTCACCTGATCTCAATAAGAAATATGTGAGAAAAATAATTCCTAGTATTCTTATATCTGTAGCCATATAACTCTTCTGTAATTCTTGCTATATGAAATTCCATATAGCAAATATTTTTATTTAATATCCTCTATTTGGTATCTTTTAATTATACTAGTTGTATGCTATAAAGATATTCCCCTCCCTATTCGTAGTGCTATATTTTCTGAATAGAAAATAAAACAGATAGGGTGCCCAGGTGGCTCAGTGGGTTAAGCTGCCCTCAGCTCCGGTCATGATCCCAGGGTCCTGGGGTTCATCCTTGCATCGGGCTCCCTGTTCAGTGGGGGGCCTGCTTGTCTCCCTCCCTCTGCTGCTCCCCTGCTTGTGTTTTTGCTCTCACTGTCAAATAAATTTAAAAAATCTTTAAAAAAAAAGAAAATAAAATAGAAAGCTATACAATTAAGCACTTAATAAATACATATAGAGAAAGGGGTCAGACTTTTCAAATAATAGAATATTAGCAGAAAGAGATCTTAGAATTCATTTCTTTTTTAAGAACTGCAACCCTTTAAAAACTGGAGGGGAAAAAAGCTATGACAGAGCTGACACACGTTACTCTGTGGTTGAATTAGAGATTCCCTTGGTTAGTTGTATACAAATTCAAGAAACAGTTTAGAAGCAGCAATACTAAAAAAAAAAATTTTTCAAGTTAAAAAAAATAGTAGCGGTATTGACAAGAAGGAACAGCTGTCTATAGAGAAAGGAGATAAAAGCAGACAGGAGAATCACAAAAGCATTGCTGTCTAGAGGATTTTAGCTTACTTATTATCAAGTCCCATTTACTATTACTCTACCATATCATGAATAATATACATAATGTTCATGAATCATCATGACTATCTAAATCAGTAGTTCTCAGCCGTGGCTGTGAATCAGAATGGCCGTTTGAATTCAACAATATCCACCAAACAAAGTAATAAAACCAGATGCCTATGGCCCGTAGCCACTGAACCACAATCAACAGAGATAGTGTCCAAGCATGAATGAGGAGATTATGACACACAGCCAGGGTGAGAACAACTGGAAGTAAATTATATACCCTTTATTCTGCTTATTAATCTGACAATATGTTTTAGGAGAATATCTATACATGTTATAATTTATCTTGTTTCAGTAATTTGGAAAGGGTATTCGTGTGAGATACATTTTTTTTTCTCATTGCAGTGGATAAATGGGGGGTTACTTTATAAGTTAGATTTGGAAATTTTATTATCTTCTTTATTATTACAGACATATGGCATCCAGGAGAAAGATGTCTTGCCCCTTCTCCAGATAATGGGACACTTTGTGAAGCAAGCGTAAAATCTGTCACAGTGGATGAAAATGGGAAGTCCTTTGCAATCATCTTATATTCAGATTTTCAAGAAAGAAAAGTACCTCTTAAAAGACTTCAAGAAATAAAATCCATTAAAGATTGCTCCAGGAATTTTATATTTGATGATGAAGATTTGGAAAAACCTTATTTCCCAGACCGAAAATTTCCATCATCTGCTGTTGCTTTTCCATTATCTGAAGATGGGGACTCTATTCCTTATACTATTAATAGGTATTTGAGAGACTACCAAAGGGAAGGAGCCCAGTTTCTCTATGCACACTTCATTCAAGGAAAAGGATGTATTCTTGGTGATGACATGGGACTTGGAAAAACAGTACAGGTATTTCTTTTAATTACTTTACAATTGAAATTCATTAAAGTCATTTTATTATGTACATGAATGGATACCATATACAAATCTCTATTTGTACGCCCAACTCTTACAGTAGCTATTTTGTGTGTGTGTATGTGTGTTTTGCACCCACTGAACAGGAAAGTCCTCAAAATTAGGATGGTGTATAGTCATTATTTTATCCTCAGTACTTATTTAGTATCTGAAATATGTTATTCAGAGTAATATTTTGGTATAACTTGGCTTGACTTTACTTTTGGTAATACTAGTACTAAGATATCAGGTATATTTAAAGTAGTTTAACTTTCTTAGCAATACTGTATGGAAGGAAAGTATTCTGCCATTTGTTAAGCTACATAGCATGGTTAAATTGATTTCTTGCGGGCATTTTGTGTATATTGTTTAGGATTTATCATATCAGAAGTTTCTTAATCTGGGATCCCTGAACCACTAGGAATTCTACTGATGGACTTCAGAGAGGTTTCCTATTTCCCTAAAATGTGTGCCAGAAGTCTTGAGAGGAAGTGCTAGTTATCTATTGCTGTATAAGAAATTATTCCAAACTTAAGCAGCTTACAACAGAATGCATTTATCATATTACAGTTTCTGTGGGTCAGAAATCCAGGTACAGATTAGCTGGGTCGTCTGGCTCAGGCTCTCACAAGGCAGCAGTCCTCTCAAGGTTGGACTAGGGTGGATTCCCTTCCTGGCCACATGATTGTTGGCAAGATTCAGTTCCTTGTGGGATGTTAGACTGAGGCCTCAGTTTCTCGTGAGCTATTTATTGGTGAAGGGCTCCCTTGGTTCCTTGCTGTAGGAGCCTCTTAATGGAGTTTCTTATAATATGGCAGCATACTTTCTCAGGGAGAGCAAGTGAGAGGGTAGGAGAGAGCACAAGTAAGAGGGAACTCATGGCCTTTGGTAACCTAATCACAGAAGAGACAGCCCTTCACTTTTGCCATATTTGCTTCTTTAGAAGCAAGTTTCTAGGGGCACCTGGGTGGCTCAGTGGGTTAAAGCCTCTGCCTTCGGCTCAGGTCATGATCCCAGGGTTCTGGGATCGAGCCCCACATCGGGCTCTCTGCTCAGCAGGGAGACTGCTTCCTCCTCTCTCTCTGCCTGCCTCTCTGCCTACTTTGCGATCTCTGTCAAATAAATAAATAAAATCTTTAAAAAAAAAAAAAGAAGAAGCAAGTTTCTAGGTTCAGCTCTTACTCAAAGGGGAAGATTAAACAGGGCTATGGATACCAATAGGTGGGGATTATTGGGAGCCCTGTCAGAAGCTGCTTATCACAAAGTTTTGTGATCTAAAAAGATTAGAGTTCAGAAACCAGACTTTATACCATACAATCACTCTGGATTTTCAGGAGTGTTTGTCTAGTTTCTGATTACCTTCTGTGTTTCCTTCATTATAATTGAATTTAAGCCATTTTATTCTTCATGACACCTCAATTGTTAGTGGAACGCAAAGGTAAGTGAAAAACTAATTTTAACATTTAAAAATTGTCTAGGTGCGCCTGGGTGGCTCAGTGGGTTAAGGGTCATACTCTTGGTTTCCGCTCAGGTCATGATCTCAGGGTTGGGAGATTGAATCCCACATCAGGGCTCCCTGCCCAGAGTCTGCTTCGGATTCTCTTTCTCCATCTCCTCCTCTCTCCACCCTTCTCCTTGCTCACCGGTGTGTGTGCTCTCACTCTCTCAAATAAATAAATAAAATCTTAAAAAAATAGTCGAGAAGTGCAATTATGTATAGGCTCTGATGTAAAAATCTAGAGTGAAACTTAATCATTCAATAATCATGGTCTATCACCATTAGCCATACTGTTTGTCCCTTTAAGCCTAGGCAATGCACATAGTTCGAAACTTGCACACTGAAGGTGCTAAATAATTGCTTATGGAGTAAATAAATTTACTTTCTCAGGAGAATAGGTGGCAAGAATATAGAAAGGAGCCTTTAGGAAACTATCATCTGTGACCAAGGTATATGGATGAATACTAGAGGAAAATAAATAACTATCTATAACTATAAATAACTAATATGACTATATTTACATATAGTTTTATTGCTTTTGCCTATGCTAGAATGTCCTCCCACCAATGCCTGCTAATCTGCAAAATCAGAAAAATCAGGGTGCTACAAAAAGTGACCTTTTTGGGAACTAGTTGGGAGTCTCCTCCCATCAAAACTACCAAATACAATTCAAATTCTTATGCATGTTGTAGGCTCAAATATAGCTTTCATCTCTGAAGTCCATGTATAAAATTATTCCCTTTATTTTGTGTTGTATTTTTTAAAGTGATTTTACTGCACAATTTTATAATACCTGACACAGTGAAATCCTTGGAACACTTTTAATTGTGTTACGAATGTGCTTTGAAAGTCCTGAGAGCTTATCTAACGAAGGTTAGGACATAGTTTCTACACTAGTTTTGATACTTGGCTGGATTTTTCTGATCCTTGGGGACCTACATCTCTAGTTATTATTCTTATAGCTCAGAGAATAAGTTCTACATAAATAGGGGGTTTGGGAGATCCATTTAAGGTGGAACTTCTATAAATACAGTGACTAAACCAATTAAAGAAATGTGGACAATAGTTAATAAGTTTAATAGAATTTCAAAATACAGTAGAATTAGGTAAAAATGGTCTATGAAAATTTACTTTTGGCATTTATTACCATTGGCATTTACCATTTGGACTGTAGTATAATTTTTTTTTTAAAGATTTTATTTATTTATTTGACAGAGAGAGACACAGAGAGGGAACACAAGCAGGGGTGGAGCAGGAGAGGGAGAAGCAGGCTCCCCTTGGAGCAGGGAGCCTGATGTGGGCCTCGATCCCAGGACCTGGGATCATGACCCGAGCCGAAGGCAGCTGCTTAATGACTGAGCCATCCAGGTGCCCCTATAATCTTACTAATTTTTTTCCTTTTTTCTGATAACATCCCTTAAGTTTTCCCCGTCTCACATTCTGACTTGACCGTAGTATGAAATTGAGCTTTTCTTTTTAAAAAAGCTTCAGTTACATACCAAATGAAGTTTGTTTCTCTCATTTCAAATTTTAAAATGTCAGTTTAATATTTTACATTCTTCAAGGGATGAGGATTTTAAAATGTACATTTGATCTAGTGACATTGGAAATTTTTATTTATTTATTTATTTATTTGACAGACAGGGATCACAAATAGGCAGAGAGAGAGAGAGGAGGAAGCAGGCTCCTTGCTTAGCAGAGTGCCTGATGTGGGGCTCGATCCCAGGACCCTGGGACCATGACCCAAGCCGAAGGCAGAGGCTTTAACCCACTGAGCCACCCAGGTGCCCTAGAAATTATTGGTTTCTTGAACAGGAGCTATTTTGCTGGAATTTGTGGGGGCACAAGCCAGACGAAGTAGGTGAAGGCATAGACAAGGGAAGTATGCTTACCTCTTTAAGAAATGTGGCTTTGAAAGGAACAAAAGTGACCTAGTAGCTGAAGGAGGTTGGAATTTTGAGGAAGTTTCTTTTTTGTTTGTTTGTATCATTTGGGAATAGGAGGAACTTGAGTATTCTTTTTTTTTTTTTTTAAAGATTTTTTATTTATTTATTTGACAGAGAGAGATCACAAGTAGGCAGAGAGGCAGGCAGAGAGAGAGGAGGAAGCAGGCTCCCTGCCGAGAAGAGAGCCCGATACGGGGCTCGATCCCAGAACCCTGAGATCATGACCTGAGCCGAAGGCAGAGGCTTTAACCCACTGAGCCACCCAGGTGCCCCAGAACTTGAGTATTCTTTAAGTGAATTGGAAGGATCTATCTTATTGAGAGGGAGCAGTTGAATATACAACATACATAAACATATGTATGCATATATTTTATATATGTCGGTCCACGAATATACAGACATAAATAAATGTGCAAAAATGGAGTCACTGCTGTCTTACAAACTGATTTTTCCCCAAGATCTTACTATAAAACTTTTCAAATATATAGAAGAGCTGGAAGAATTATAAAATGAATACCCATTTATCCACCACCTAGATTCTTTCAACATGTCATTATACATGGGTTTATCACTTATCTATCCATCCATCAAACCATGTTTTGTTGCATTTTAAAGTAGCAGACATTAATATATCCTATCCCCAAACACTTGAACATATGTGCCATTAGCTAATTAGTATTTATTTACAATTCTTTTTTTTTTTTTTTTCATTTTGAAGTAAAATTTAAAGTGAAATGCACAAGTCTTAAGGGTACCCATCATTCCATGAGCTTTGACATCAGTGAAAGCCAAATAAACCCTTTCAAGATACAGGACATTGTCATCACTCCAGAAGAGGTCATTCTGTTTCTTCCTGGTCTTCCACCACCCCAAGAGGCAATCACTGTTCTGCTTTTTTATATCATAGATTAGTTTTGTATTTACATATAAGTAAGATCATACATGTGTACTCTGTGTCAAGCTTCTTTCACTTAGCATAATATTTTGAGTTTCATCTATGTTATTAATTGCATAAGTAGTTTGTTCCTTTTTATCACTGGTAGTTATTCCATTCTATAGATGCTGCATTTTGTATATTCTCCAGCTGGTGGGCATATGAGCTGTTTCCAGTTTTTAATTGTCATGAATAAAACTGCTAGAACTCTCTTGAACAATTTTTTATGTATTCACTTTTCTTGAGTAAATAATTAGGAATGGAATTGCTTGGTCATAAACTAACCTATGCTTACTTTTTGAAGAAATTGCCAAACCTTTTCCAAAATGTTTGTACCATTCTGCATTCCTGCCAACAATGTATGAAATTATGGTTGCTTCATGTTCTTACAAAATTTGATTTTGTCAGTCTTACTAGTTTTAGCAGACTTACTGGTTGTATGTGTATATATACATTTGTGTGTGTGTATGTACTTTTTAAAGATAAAATTGATATACAGTGAAGTGCATAAATTTACAGTATATGGTTTGGTAAGTTTTACATATATATGCACCCAACAAATGATACCTACAATACC